TTTTAATCCTAGGTTACTGGGCATTTAAGGCAATGTCAGCCTTGTCAGCAACAGCAGCGCCGAAAAGATCTCAAGTCGGGCTCGGCGGCCCTCTCTCTTGGCGATGATTCCCAAGCAGATTGCGCCGCAGATCCCAAACCTACCCAGGTCGCGGACCGCTTCCGTGGCAAGCATTGACAACAACCTGTCGTCCTCCAGCTATGAGCACGATCCGAGGTCGACGATGCCAAACTCTAAAGCCTGAAGCCCATTCCCCAAAATTATGAAATCGGCAACTCTGATCTTCAAGCCCCTAACCCTAAAGTCTTACATAGAAATAAGAATAGCAATAATTGCAACAATGCTAATAATAATGATAGCAATACCAAAAACAAGAGCAATCAGATTTAGAACGAAAGTTAAATTCTTCATACTAGTAAGACGAAGAAGAAGAATGGTTGAATCCCTCAACCCCGAGGTCCCTACCAAGCGGACGCTGGGCCATGGCTGACACTCAAGAATCCACCAAGTCAGAGCCTGTGCTGCCAGCACCCTATCAATCACCAGTTTTAACGCCTGCTCTCTCGCAGTCCTTGGTGAAGGACCAGGAGGACAGCGACGAAGGCTTACGGGATATCGCTGAGCACATGGGAGCAGAGGGCGCTGACAGCTTCGCCGTAAGCCCCGGCCCAAACGATGCCAGGGGACCAGCAACTTAGCCATTATCAATGGCCAAACTGCAATAACTCCGAAAAGATGAGCCTTGAGATCCTCTATAAACCTCTCTGAGCCCTAGCCTTCCAGGAATAGTAGAATCGGAACATAATGAAAAGTTGAACCTTCAGCTTTTTGGTGGAAACTGGACAACAAAGAATCCTTACAGCAGCCTCCTAAAACCCTCAAAGAAAGCCTAAAGCATTCGAACAGCTCTGCAGAAGAACTGGTCGGACTATCCCCCCTCCATAGTCTTCGATAATGATACTATAGATAAAAGTCTACTCACAAAGCCCACTCTTGTGATCAAGGGTTTTTGTCCACCCCTGTGATTGTAAAACCAACAGCAACGTCGAAAAAAATGTAAAGACCTATACAGTAAAGACTTTTGAAAACCCTATGAAAAGCCTCGAAAGACCTGTCAACCCCCCCAGACCCTCATGCCAGAAGTGAGGCGATCACAAGGAGGCACAGTATGGCCATCCTACCGGGGGCCTTCGAGCTTCCGCACCTTCGGCACCTGTTGGGCTTCAAGGTTCAGGATTTGGGTTTTAGGTTTGGGATTTAGGGTTTCGGGTTTAGGGTTGGGCATTTTCAAGTTGCCACAGAAACGCGGGAAATGTGCTTTAGAGGGCTCTGTGTCACAATTGAGATATGTGGGTTCTGTTAACATCTTTCCTCCTGTTTTCAGAAGCTTCAAGCCGATGATGGCGGCTTCTACCAAGCGCCCAGGCAAAGCCAGCCTCTTCCAGTGCCTGCCTGGAGACGACTCCTCCGAAGCCTTGCCAAGCGACTGCTTTGGAAGAGGTCCCAAAACCCTAAACCCCTGAACCCTAAACCCCGAAACCCTATTCCCTGCACCCTGATCCCCTAAAAAGAGGTCCTCTCCACAGGACGGCAAGGTCACCCCCGAAGCCACCAAGGCAGGGGTTTCGAAACGTAGGGTTTAGGGGTTAGGGTTTGGGGTTCCCAAACATCATTGGATACATATTATAGAGGACACTCAACAGAAGCAAGAAGCCGCGAAGGTGAGGCGGATTCTTCCGACTCATTCCGTGGAGATCCCAGGTAGGTCCGGCCGTCGCCGCGCAGTCGTGCTGCAGGAGTTTGATGTGCTGCAGGTCCTGCATCTGGGCTCCTGATATGGTGTTGAGTTTGAGTTGCCAATGATCCACGCAACATGCCCTTGCCCAAACTCGGCCTAAACCCGACACATCCTAAACCCTAAAAGCCCCACACCCTAAACAAGAGCCCGGACAGAAAACCCAATCCCTGTACCCTTCATAAATGCCCCAACCCCCTAGAACCCCATAACTCACAACCATAAGCAGTAAGCAAGAGCCCAGGCAGAGAAGTTTCCGGTTCTCTCGGTATTCCTGGCCCTTCTCCGATCCAAATGGCCGGCCAAGACAGTATTGGGAAATCGTCGCCTGCACTTTGCTCTTGGTGCAGCTCCTGCACCTCGTCACTTCTTAGGAGTTTTACCTTCAGGGCTTCAGGGCTCATTCTTGGTGCTATCAGGCCTTTGGGTAATTTGGGTATAGGGTTGTTCGGCTGTTGTTGCAGCTTCTGCACTTACTGTAACCAAAGCCGGGTTCCTGAACAAGCGCCCAGGTACATATGCTTCCAGACCAGTTTCATCACCTTCGAAGACTACCAGGATCAAGGTTACTGGGAGCTGAAGTTGGCTTTGCTTGCGGTGGACGTCTTTTGGGTCATCGATCTGGGTATCAACTTTTCGACCGGCTACCGAGATGCTACACATGTCCTGCATAGCAGCGCCCGCTCCAATGCCCGGCGCTACCTCCGGCACCTCGTCGGCAGACGTGTGAGCTGCGGACACCACAGAGCTGGGAAATAGAGCCTACCCCCACGAAGGTATTGAATCCGAAGCTTACGATTCTGTTGTGTTCCTGTTTTGTGAAAGCCCCGAAACCCAAATCCCCCAAAACCGTATCGATGAAGGTCTGGATTCGCCTTCGACCTGCTGGCCACCTTACCCTCGCTCCTCCTACACGTGCTCCTGGGCTCTTCCTTGTATTCGTGAACTGAAACTAGCTCACCAAGTAAAGCTCTTAATGCAACTTCAAGCTACAGTACTCGTCAATTATAGTAGAAACCATTTGTCCATTGTCCAGGACGCAGCCATCCAGAGCGGCCACCCCAGGCTACTCGTGTGCCCTCGTAGGATGTGCGACAAAGGGCAACCCAGCAGTCTGGTATCTTGAGTGAAGCTCCTGTCACGTAGGGGCCTTATTGGTAATTATTTAGGCCCCTGCATTACACCCTACCAAGCCCTTGCCGTCCGACAGACTTGCCTGACAAGGTATCATGACGCGCCCGGGCCCTGAGCCTTCAACCCTAGCCCTAAAACCCCAAACCCTAGAACTCTAAAGCCCTCACGCCACAAAGAAAACCCTGAAACCCTAGGCCCTTCAACACTCAACACTCTAGAACAGTTAAGCCCTCAGCCCGTGCAGCCCTAAAGCCGTACGCATCCACAAAAGTTCCCTAAAGCCCTTAATCCCCTGAAGCCCTCAACACTCTAAAGCCCTGAAGCCCTCCGACTATGAAACCTACAACCCTCACCTAAGCCTGAAAAACCCTGAAGCCTTAAACTAGGCTCCTGGTGGTCGACCCTCCAACCTACGGCTTCTGGCCGCTCCGGCGCCTCGGCCTATACGAAAGCATCGAAGCACATTCAGCGGCAGTTTTGGCGGTTTGTTTTTGGTGTTAAGGGCTTTGGGGGGCTTTAGGGCCCTAGACTTTTAGGATTTTAGGGCTTTTGGGTTTGGGCTTTCAAGTGTAGGTTTAAGCAGTTTACTTGCGGTTTTCGGGCTTCGGGGCTGGCTAGAAACCTTAGACCAAAGGAAGCAAGAGGCCGAGGCCGAGAGGGGTTTCAGTGGAGGGTTCAGGAGTTTAGGGTTTAGGGGTTCAGGGGTTCAGGGGGTGTGTGTGTGTGTGTGTGTGTGTGTGTGTAATCACTCACCATTGAGTTTCAATAAGCCCGGTATCCACCCTGGCCCCGCACGAAGCCTAACGCCCTCAGGTTTAGCGTTCAAGGTTAGGGTTGAAGCTTTAGGCTTTAGCCTGTTGCTTTGGTTTACAGCCTCAGACTTGAAGGCTGTAGGGTGTACGCTTTAAGCCCTCATAGAGTCTTCCTGGGTGGGCTGACAAGAATCTGAGCGAGGGGTTCCGCGGGGGGCTTGGCACGTGGTAGTTTTTGATTCTACTCCGTGCTTTTCCTCGCATAAGACAGTATACTGGCATTTGAAAGGCCCCTTTGTTAAACGCTTAAGAAGGAACCCAACTCTAATTGAGGCCCCTGTTTTGGAACAGCGAGGTTGGCTGGTCTTACCCCTCTGGTCCGCGCGGTTCGCTTCCGTGGGGCCTACACGCTGCTGAGCCGGTTGGAAGCCAACATGACCCCTGGGTTGCAATTTGGGCTGCGGGATTCCGTTATCTCGAGTGCATGCAATCACTGTCCGGTTTGATGTTGATGCATGGCCTAGTGCTGTATTGACGGGTTGTGAGTCTGTGCTGTAAAGTGCCGTCGAAATTTGCTGTTTCATTGCATTCTATCGTATGTAGTTCGGGAGTATTACCTCGCATCGCGTTATGTTGACATTTGTTAATCGTCGGAGCAAGGGTTTTTCATGTTCGCATCAGACGTAGGTAGGAGGTAGGTAGGTAGGCAGGCAGGCAGGTAGGAAGGCAGGTAGGTAGGTAGGCAGGTAGGTAGGTAGGTCGGTCGGTAGGTAGGTAGGTAGGTAGGGTACGTTGGTAGGTTGTTAGGTTGGTAGGTTGTTAGGTTGGTAGGTAGTAGGTCGGCAGGCAGGGAGGTAGGTCGGTAGGTGGGTAGGTAGTTAGGTAGGTAGGTAGGTAGGTAGGTAGGTAGGTAGGTAGGTAGGCGGCCAGCAGGCAGTGGCAGTCAGTATGCTTGCCTGTCTGCCTGCCTGTCTGTATGTTTGTCTGTCTGTTTATCTGTCTGTCCGTTTGCCTGTTTGTCCGTGTACCTGTGCATATACAATTTCTCTCATGTCTGATTGTGTGTGATTGGTGCTGATCGCTTCAGGAAATCCTCGGTGGTATCCTCGGCCTGGTGGCTTTTCCAGCTGTTCATGCTTCCCATTGTCTTCTCACACCTCTCCGCCTGTGCCTGGCCTCATTCCACAAAGATTCTTAGGGTTTGGGGTTCTGGGCAACCATCGAACAACAAGTAAGTAGGGTGTACTATTCCCCGAAAGCCTTTTTCTGTTCAATGAAGTCCGCATATGTATGAAGCCTGTATAGCAACCCTTTGAACGGTACTCGTAACAAAAGCAGCCACTAAACCCTAAGCTGACATCGTGTTTGGGTGCCGTGACACCAGAAAAAGGTTCTATAAAGGTTCCCATAACATAAGGGTTGTGTAAGGGTTGCCATAAGGGTTACTATAAGGGCTACCATCGGATGTTAGAAGGTGGTTCCAGAAGATGCGGTACAGGTTACCAAGATGGGAGGGAACCAGTACGAAATCCTTGAGCCCTGATCCAACGCCAAGAGCACCCCTTCAGAATCCTCTGCAAACCAGTATAGCACCCTCCTACAGCCCTTACAGTAACCCTTTGAGTAACGCGTATGGTGAAGCTTGTAGAACACTCCTAAAAACCATCATGGGACATTTAGTTACGGTAACCCTGCTGAAACCCTTGTGACAGCTCGGAAAAGTGCCTTCGACATTTGCACAGCGAAAATGTTTGCCCTCAGTGAACCTTGAACCCCTTTATCCCAAACCCTAAACCCTAACACACATCTAAAGAACAGAAAGTCACACCGCAGACAAAATTTGAGAGTTGCCTCAGGCTTTCATCAATCCAGGATCTTGGAAACCATCCCAACCCCTAAGGCCTAATCCCAAGACTAACCCAACAGTCCCTGAGCCTTCAATCTGAAAAAACACCCTCAGCTCAAAGCCCACAAGCTCCCCTCAGTCGCTGAACACCCTAAACCCTTAAATACCATACGCCCCCGGAACCCCACTCCACTATACGATGCCTTACAACTTTGAAGCCTTCAAACCTCAAAGTCGCGATGCACCGTACACCCCAAAGCTGCACCCTAAGGCCTTAACCTCCCCGTCACCAAACGGCTGCTAGCCCTTACGCTTAGATAACCAAGAGCCTTGAGCTTTGAACTCGTGAAACCTGAAACACCAACAAAAAGCCGCCTAACCTGAAGCTCCAAAGCCGTAACCCTGCTAAACTCGAAACCTTATGACTTATATAGAGTCCTGATAAAAATCCGTATGCTACCCTCAAAACAAACCCTAAAAAAATTCTACATAGAGGTGCCTTATGGTCCCTCGGCCACAGCAACCTGGAAGCCGACCCAGACACCCCCAGCTGGATCAAGTTGGGCCTGGACATCTCCAACGAGCCTCGCAGTATTTCCTCCTAGGGTTCCTCTGAAAGGGTCTAGGGTTTGCAGGGTATAGGGGAGACTTAAAACCTAAAGCGATATCACTTATAGCAACCCTTGTAGAACCCTCAAACAACCATGTAATTGCTAGATTTTCCTAAGCGTCCTATATCAAAGGGTTCTGTTAATTGGCGATTGTGAATTCCTCTAATTAGGATTCCTTTATAGGAACCTTCATGGAAGCCTAAACCCCTAAACCCTAAACCCCAAACCCTAAACCCTAAACCCCAAACCCGAAGCCCTAAACCCCAAACCCTCATAAACAACCGTAGATTTCTAAGAGAAACCCTCAGAGTCGACTCTGAGGCTCAGTAGACATGCCCGTAAACCGTGCTAGAGACCCTTAGGGGGTACTGTAGGGCTCCATGATCGGATCCTGGGAGACCCTATTGTAGAACCCTAATAAAGGAGCCGTTTTATGGAACCCTCTAGCACCCTGTAAGGGTACTTTAGAGTTCCAGCATTGCATCTCTTTTAGAGGAACCCTTCAGAGGAACCTCTGCTTCTGAGAAGAACCCTGTACAGGCACTACTAAGTCCTATTACTAGGTTTAGGGGTTTAGGGTGGTTTACGGACATCTCCAAGAAGCTTCGGATTACTGCGGAGGTCGGGTTTTGGGCTTTGGGCGTCGAAAGACTTCGTGGGGTTTACCACAACAGACGCCCCC